GGCTGTTCTCCAACGACCTGCCGCCGCTGCGCCTGCTGCGCGATCTGGGCATGGCCGCGGTGGACCGCGCCGCGCCGCTCAAGCGCCTGCTGATGCGCCACGCCATGGGGCTGGTTGGCGATCTGCCCCGCCTGGCCCGCGGCGAGCCGCTGTAGCGGGCGCAGGCCGCCTTCGCCGCTGCCCCGCCGGCGGCGACCGCGTCAGCCGCTGCCCCGGCGCGGGTCGGCCGTGTAGAAGCGCTCGCCGGTGGTCAGGGTCCAGCCGACCAGGTCGCGCAGGCAGTCGCCCAGCGCCGCGTCGAAGGCGCGCACCACCGCCGGCAGGGTGTCGGCCTCGGCCGGCTCGCGCGCCGCGACGCTGTGGTTGGCGACGATGGCGCGCCGCGGCATCTGCACCAGCTTGACGTTGAGCGCCACGTGGGCCTGCGGCAGGGCGCCGTGGAAGTACTCGGCCTGGAACTCGCGCAGCTCGCTCTTCAGCACGAAGTCCGCGCGCAGGCCCAGGGACTCCCGACCGATCGAGACGATCCTGTGCGAGTTCTCGAAGGACTCGATCATCAGGGTCTGGACCATCTGCGGCGCCTGGTCGGTCCAGTTGGCGCGGGCGTAGTACTCCACCTCCATGCGCTGCTGCATCAGCGCGATGCGCACCGTGTCGAGCGCGGCATTGGCGATCGGCGGTTCGAGGATGAGCTGCCAGTCGACCTCCGGCAGGCTCTCGTCGAACCGGCTTTTCGGCGACAGGCGGAAGAACTGCGGCGGCGGGCGCTGGCCCGGCACGAGCTGGGTGCAGCCGGCCAGCGGCCCCGACAGCGCGCCCAGCAGGGCCGCCGCCGCGCCCGCGCGCAACAGTCCCCGGCGGTCCGGCCGGACGGGCGGCCTCCCCTCAACGCGGCGCTTCATAGCCTTCCTGCTGATCTCCGAAGATGAACCGCGCCGGGTCGCGCTGCACCTCGAGCGAGACGCGGTTGAGGTTGGTGACCAGGCTGCGCGCCTCGGTCAGGAGGTTGGCCAGCTCGTAGAGGCCGGTCGCGGTGAAGTCGCGGATCGGCTCGCGGTTCTCCGCGACCATGGCCTGCACCTCGCCGGCCATGGCATCGATCGACTGCGCCGCCCCGCGCAGCTCGGCGATCATCTCGTTGAGGCCGGTGGCCGAGGTGTCGACCTCGCCCTCCAGCCGCTCGGCCAGGCGCCGCACCGCGTCCAGCGTGGTGCCGGTCTTCTGGGTCAGGTCGCCGAACTGGCCGCGCGCGTCGCGCGCCAGGTCCGCCGTCACGGCGCTGGCCTCGTTCAGGTTGGCCAGGGTGCCGGAGGCGTCGTCGACCAGGGCGCCGATCCGGTCGCGCCGGCCGGCCAGCTCGGAGGTCAGCGACTCGATGTTGGTCATCGTCGTCTCGAGGCTGGCCAGATTGCGGTCGCTCAGCAGCAGGTTGACCCGCGCCAGGGTGGTCTGCATGGCCGCGACGGCATCGGGCACGCCCTCCAGCACCTGCTCCAGGGACGAGGCCTCGGTGCGGATCTCCGGCACCGCCTCGGTCGCCGCCGCGCGCAGCCGCGGCGCTGCCGCCGTGCCGCCCTGCAGCAGCACGTAGCGCCCGCCGGTCAGCCCCTCCATCTCCAGGCTGGCGGTGGTGTCGGTCTTGACCGGCACCTCGGCGTCGACGCGCACCATCACCCGCACGGTGCCGGGGTCGTCGGGCTCCAGCTTGATGTCCACCACCTCGCCGACGCGCACCCCGGAGTAGCGCACCGGGCTGCCCTCGGCCAGGCCGGTGACCGAACCGGAGACCAGCAGGTCGTAGCGCTCGAAGGTGGTGTCGACCTGGAACTTCGCCAGCCAGATGACGAAGGCGAAGCTGCCGAGGAAGAGCGCCAGCACGAAGGCGCCGACCAGGATGTAGTTCGCCCGGGTTTCCATCCGCCCCCTTCGCGCTCACGCCCAAACAAAGCCGCCGCGCCCGCTAGGGCGCCTCGGCGTTCGCCCCGGCCGCAGGGTCGATTCCGGCCGCACGCTCCGCTGCGCCCGCCGCCGCCCGGCCGCGCGGACCGAGAAAATAGTCCTGAATCCAGGGATCGGGTTCACGTTCCAGCTCTTGGATCGTTCCGACCTTAACACGCTTGTCGACCAGCACGGAAATCCTGTCGCAGATGGCATAGAGGCTGTCCAGGTCGTGGGTGACCATGACCACGCTCAGGCCCAGGGCCGACTGCAGGTCGCCGATCAGGGCGTCGAACTGGCTGGCGCCGATCGGGTCGAGCCCGGCGGTCGGCTCGTCGAGGAACAG